GGAGGTGTAAGTGAAGGCTCTATCTGTAATTCCATTTGAGACTACTGTTTTTTTCTAACAGTGTACTACAGCAATTCAAATTAGGGACACTTGAAAAGGGTTGAGCATTTTCCAACTTGTTCTTTTTGCCTGTATCTTGGGCTGAAACAACCAAACATTGCCTGGGGTTTTAAATACTTTGAGTTGTATGCCTCCCTCTAAAAAGAACCAGAAATAACAAAATAGCATGTATAGCTATTTCTGAGAGATATTGCAACAAAACAAAATCAGGGAGTGCTAGAACAACAGCGGGGGTGTGTGTGTCAAGAAAATCGACATTCTGACCCCCATTCTCAGAGATGAAGGCTATACGTCTGTATTTGCACATGTTCAACTTTAGTGTTGCAAGTTTATAGCACACTGCAAGATATGTAATTGATACTGAAAATGTTTTGGGGTGTGGTGGTGGTTTTGGGTTTTTTTTCCCCCTTTCCCTGGGCAAATCAAAAATTACCAATTAGTGAAAAATGTGTGTGCGTGTTTACGAATGTACATGCAACGACATAAGTAGACTCTCCCTCCTATCCCACTCCTACAGAGTGACTTAAAGTCAGACTTAAGGGCAACTGCTTAAAGTAGAAGCTGCCCGTATTTTTTCTTTTGTACTAAATGTGGTCAGATGATTGAAGTTCAAAAAATGGTTTTTCTTGCTGACTACTTTTTTTAACCCTTTTGCTGTATCATTGAAATAGGAAGTGTCTGGAGCTCAGCAAGGATGACATTTATTCTTGGGAGGATGGGAAAAAGTTAAAAGTAGAAACAGCTGATGAGGCAGGATGGCTCTGTGGAGAAAGCAGGAGGAAGAGAAATGTGAACATCTGTTAAAGCTATACCAGTGACTATTTTGGCTAAGTTCAGCTTGCAGTTCCTTTTGAATTCCTTCTTCTTCAGTAGATGTCACTGCTATCAGTTGAAAACATGATATAGGCCTTTGGAGTATCATTAATTTGCGTAACAGAGAATGTAATAAAGAGGAAGAACAGGCAGTTCCATTTGTTGTTTTTTTTTTTTTTTTTTTATTTTTGCGGTTTTTTCTAAAACATATGTATTAAAAAAAAGAGTGATATCTTGAAAATCTGAT